CCAGTCTACTCGAATGCTCAGGCTGGTGAGCCCTAAACCCTAAACCCTAAACCCTAAACCCTAAACCCTAGTATCCAAACCCTAGTATATAAACCCTTAAACCTTTTTATTTTTTTGTGTGTTTTATGCGTTTGTGTTATCTGGGGTTTCGTCTCGTGGTTTGTATTCTTGCTGCTAAAGCAGCTGCTGCATCCTGCTGCTGTGTGTGTTTAAACCCTAAACCCTAAACCCTAAACCCTTCTATTTCCTTTTGTATGATCTCGTGTTGCTGCACCGTTCTGTCTCCATTGTATCTCCCTGACTAAACCCTAAACCCTAGACCCCACCCACCAACCCCTAAACCCTAAACCCTGTAAACCCTAAACCCTGTAAACCCTAAACCCTGTAAACCCTAAACCCTAAACCCTAAACCCTAAACCCTAAACCCTGATGTATGTATGCAGGGGACTTGGTGGTGATGGATAACATTGTGCGTCACCGGGGTAGCAGCCACAGCAGCGCATCGATCCGCCCGCTTATTTATATGTCTCTCGTAGATAGAAGGTTTTGCGGCGGAGAGAAAGTAGGCAGCAAAACGCACTTTCTTAACTGGCAGCAGTACCCACATCTACCCCAGCTGCAGCAGCAGCAGCAGCAGCAGCAGCAGCTGCAGCAGCAGCAGAAGCAGCAGCAGCTGGAGCAGCAGCAGCAGCAGCAAGAGCGGATGCTGGAGACGCAGCAGCAGCAGCAGCAACAGGATGGTGCTCAAGAGACAGACACAACGACTACTGCAACAGCAGCAGCAGCAACTGCTGCTGCTGCTGCTGCTGCTGATGATGATGATTTGCCCTGTCGTAAGGGGACAAAGACAGAACAGGAGGATTCTCCTCGTGCTCCGGATGCAGCAGAAACTCAGCAGCAGCAGCAGCAGCAGCAGCAGCAGCAGCAACAGCAGCAGCAGCAGCAGCAGCAGGATGATGAAGAGTGTGTCTTAGAGCTAACAGAGGCAGAAGCTGCTGCAACCAACCTGGAGGAGCTGCTCACCATCAACAGGCTCAGCGCCCGCGAGCTGCTAAACCCAGCAACCGAGCAGCAGCAGCAGCAGCAGCAGCAGCAGCAGCAGCAGCAGCAGCAGCAGAAGGTAGAGTGCTGCGAGAGGCTGGCAGCGAACCCAGCAAAGATTCGGGTGTCTCTACACCGCATGAAGCAGCACCTGCAGCGGCTGCTGCTGTATCGGTATATGGTCTACAAGCAGCAGCAAACTGCCATGCATGACGTCTAGCCACAGGAACAGCTAGCTGCTAGCAGCTAGCTAGCAGCTAGCTAGCAGCTAGCCAGCAGCTAGCCAGCAGCTAGCTAACAGCTAGCTAGCNTAGCTAGCAGCTAGCTAGCAGCTAGGTAGCAGCTAGCTAGCAGCTAGCTAGCAGCTAGCCAGCAGCTAGCTAGCAGCTAGGTAGCAGCTAGGTAGCTGCTGCTGCTGCGTTTGCTGCTGTTGCTGCAGCAGCTGCTGAACCAACAGAAAGCCGTGGCGACAGAGGGAGAACTCTATCGAGCTGCAGAGGGACAGGGGTGTGGCTAGCTGTGCGAGCTAGCCAGCTAGCCATCCCTTTAGCTGGCTCCCGCTGGAGCTGCAGCGGCAGCGGCAGCAGCAGCAGCAGCGGCAGCAGCAGCAGCAGCAGCAGCTCGCTGGTGCAGCTAGCCACAGCTGCACCATTCCGCAGTACCACCACTGGCTAGCTAGCTGCTCTTCAATGGCTAGCTAGCCAGGCGCCTGCGGCGGCGGGGCTGTACACAGATTCTTTCTTAGCTCCGCAGACCTGTACAGGCCACCAACTCCAACACACCGCGTGTCTACTTTTCCTTAGCAATCTAACTAGCTAGCTAGCTAGCTAGCTAGCTAGCTAGCTAGCTAGCTAGCTGGGTAGCTAGCTAGCTAGCTGGGTAGCTGGGTAGCTAGCTAGCTAGCTGGGTAGGTAGTTAGTTGGGTAGCTAGCTGCTTAACTAGCTAGCTAGCTATCTGCAGATACATAAGAAGGCATGCAGCCCCTGTTGCAGCGGTGGGCTGTGGAGCCTATAGGTAATTCATCTGTAGCTAGCCANAAGAAGGCATGCAGCCCCTGTTGCAGCGGTGGGCTGTGGAGCCTATAGGTAATTCATCTGTAGCTAGCCAAGGCCAGCTAGCTGTAGCTAGCTCGGGCTAGCTAGCTGTAGCTAGTAAAGGCTAGCTAGCTGTAGCTAGCCAGGGATAGCTGGGTAGCTGTAGCTAGCCATGCGCCAGCTAGCTAGCCGTAGCTAGTCAACGCCAGGGAGCTACAGGTAGCTCAGCTGCCGGGCTGGGCAGCAGAGGGTACTAGGGGCTCGCTGTGGGAGCTGCTGCTGCTGCTGCTGCTGCTGCTGCTGCAGCAGAATGTGGCTGCTGCTGTATTCACTACAGCAGCAGCTCCAGCGCCCAAGAGGGATCAGCAGCAGACAACCCGGGGGTAGCGACAAGCACGCGGTAGCAAGG